TTACTGAAAAAGGCACACATACATGTATGCACAGGCAGTATTCTAGATAGACCAGTATATGATCTGACAGTACACACACACACGATAAAATCATTTATATACACTCACATACAATGATGAAAATATTCTGAACACTCCAGAAAGGAAACCTTGGAAACACATTAAAAGTTACTGGGTATTGCAATATGGACAAGAAAATTCTTATATATATGCATATACACAGACATACACACATTATACAGGTTATTTTTGAAATTACCAATACATTTAGAAACATGCATTTCTTTTATCTTCTAAGGATACTTTTCAACTGACAGGCATATTATGGCTTACAGAGTTTTTCCTTTTCCACAAACTCAGAGAGACAGCTACAATAGTATTCTGCCTGAGATATAATTACTTGCATTAACAAAATCAATGCATCTGCATTCTTGTTTTCCCCATAACCTATTTTGAGCTCTAAAAGAAGTTAATCTACCACCTTTTCAAGAATTTATGGAAATGCTGTCAAAATGACTTCTTATTTATTTGTCATGGTAATTACTGCTCTCTGCCTAACAAAGTACCCCCCTTTGCCATTCAAGTAAGCAGTTTACTTTGCAAGGACTATCAGAAAACATGGTTATTCAACTCCTAGAAATTATTTCAGCAACCTGTCAAGATAAATCATATAATAAGAACGGCGCTATACTTCTTGCGTATTCTACCACATCAAAACCCTTAGTATTTCATGTTTAAAATAGGAGCGGGATACTTTTGAAGTAAAATAACTCTCAACTATTGTGCATGGAAGAAGATTATTTCCTCTCCACATGTAACACTCCAATAATCTCACTTGCTTTCTCTTTTATTTCCTCCTCTCCTTTTTCATAGAATCACAGAATATCCCAAGTTGGAAGGGACCGATAAGGATCATCGAGTCCAACTCCTGGCACTGCACAGTTCTGCCCAAAAGTTTAGACCATGTGACTAAGTGCACAGTCCAAGCTCTTCTTAAATTCAGGCAGGCTTAGTGCAGTGACTACGTCCCTGGGGAGCCTGTTCCAGTGTGTGACCAACCTCTCGTTGAAGAACCTCTTCCTGATGTCCAGCCTAAACCTCCCCTGCCTCAGCTTAACACCGTTCCCGTGGGTCCTATCACTGGTGTTTACAGAGAATAGGTCACCTGCCTCTCCACTCCCCCTCGTGAGGAAGTTGTAGACTGCAACGAGGTCTCCCCTCAGCCTCCTCTTCCCCAGGTTGAACAGGCCCAGTGTCCTCAGCCACTCCTCATATGTCTTCCCCTCCATGCCCTTCACCATCTTTGTCACCCTGCTCTGGACACTCTCCAACAGTTTCATGTCCTTGTACTGTGGTGCCCAGAACTGCACGCAGTGCTCAAGGTGAGGCCGCACCAGCGCAGAGCAGAGTGGGACAATCCCTTCCCTCGACCGACTGGCGATGCCGTGCTTGATGCACCCCAGGCTACGGTTGGCCTTCCTGGCTGCCAGGGCACACTGCTGGCTCATATTCAACTTGCAGTTAACCACAACCCCCAGATCCCTCTCTGCAGGGCTGCTCTCCAGTGTCTCGTCGCCCAGTCTGTACATATAGCCAGGGTTGCCCCATCCCAGGTGCAGGACCCGGCACTTGCCTTTGTTAAATTTCATGCAGCTGGTGATTGCCCAGCTCTCCAACCTGTCCAGATCTCTCTGCAAGGCCTTCCTCAGCCAAGTCTACAACTCCTCCAAGTTTGGTGTCATCAGCAAATTTGTTCAAAACACCTTCTAGCCCTACATCCAAATTATTTATAAAGACATTGAACAGAACTGGCCCTAAAATGGAGCCTTGAGGGACCCCACTAGTGACCATCCACCAGCCAGATGTGGCCCCATTTACCACAACCCTTTGAGCCTTGCCCATCAGCCAACTGCTCACCCACTGGATGATGTTTTTGTTTAGCTGTATGCTGGACATTTTGTCCAGTAGGATCCTATGGGAAACCATGTCAAAAGCTTTGCTGAAGTCTGAAAAGATCACATCAGCTGGTTTTCCTTGATCAAAGATGGGTGATCTTATCATAAAAGGAAATCAAATTTGTTCGGCAGGACCTACCCCTCATGAACCCATGTTGGCTGGGAGGGTTTTTTTGTTCTTTTTTTTTTTTTTTTCTAAATATCCCTCTATTAAGGGAATTCCAAGCACTTAAAATCTAGAAGGCTACAACGTCTAAAGACTCCGCAGCCAGCAAAACAGCAGAAGAAGGCTCCAGAAATATAAGAAACTGTCCCTAACCCTGAAAAAGACTACACCTTATGTGCCTACTTTAGCTGTTTCCAGATACTCACTGGCACAGGGAGCTTGGATGATACATTTCCCCTAAACCCTGCTCCATCACTTTAACTCTCATTAAACTTCAACTCTCACTTCCCCTTGGCCTTTTTTATTTTTAATCAGGTTGTTTTAACTTTTACTGTCTTATACAACACATGAAACCGAGCACATGGTTGCTATTAAGGAGATTAATATAGATCTAAAGATATATCTGTGACTTCTTTTTGACTACGTCAGAGTAAATTAATCAAAAAATGGGTTTATCCTTTTGAAACAGCACTTGGACACTTAGAGGTTCTATCATTTGCTGCATATTTCAGAGATGAAAGCTACTTCAAATCGTGTAATATTGGTATCAAATACTAGATTATACAAGCTGTTCTCCGAGTCACACAAGATACCAAAAGGTTTGCTTGGAAAAAGTTTCTGAAGTTAAGACTCCCCCTATCTTTGCTGCAAGGTACTCAGTCTCCCTGTTTGGCAGCTGGTATTCATATATACATAAAAATATTTTTCCATATTTAATAATAGATTTGTCTATTATGCTTGCTGCTATTGTGTCATAGCATTTACCATCAGTGCCTCATTTCCTATGAATAACATCTGCTGTATTACAGCTTGAGAAGTTCAATCAGATAAGATGTGATAGGAGGTTGACTTCTGTCACAACCTAAAAAAAACACATTAGCTGAACAAAGCAAGAGAGTTACCAGAAACAAGTAAAGCAGGTTACTTTTCCAGTCATGTTGATGGGCCTGACTTAGAACAAAACAATCCTCCCTTCACACTTACAAACTGGCATAACAGAGATCAATGAGGAAGGTTCTTAACCCCTTTGATTCTCCCTAGGATCTCAGGCATTTAAACTGAACACCAGCTGAGTAAAAGAGAGCAGAAAAATCAGAAGAGGCTTCCTTAGCAGGCGTGGGGAAAGGCACATTCCGGTGACTATTGATCACACTTAACACAGTAACTTCCTAAAAATAAAATTCTTTCTTATTTCCTAGCACTCCATTTTTCTTTGTTCACTGAATTCTGCTTGCACAATGAAGCCAGAAATATCAGCTTCATTTTCTCTGTCTTGAACATTAAGAAATCCAAACCCATTGACATTTTGCTATATTAAAGGAGGAAGTCTGTGGTTTAGGGTTTTCGTGATTTTTTGTTTTTATAGTTTGGTGGTACAGTTCTCAAAATGTCATGAAAATATTAATCAACTTCATTAAGTTTTGAAAACCTTCTTTCTTTCTTTCTAATACTAAAGGCTAAATGTTGGATTTACCCTAATAAATCACATTACTCTTAGCAATTCCGAATAGAGGAGTCTGTGAATCTCAGAGGTAGGAAATAAATTTTGATTTTGATTATGATAGCGATGGCATTGATTCTGATGCAGATACACTGTATTTACTTACATTGTATTGTAATTTACTTGTATCTAATTGTTTGATGTTCATTGAGGAGAAATAAGTCCTCACAACTTTATACACTGCAAAATCATATCTAGATCAAATGATTATGCAACCACTTCCATTTACTAGATTTTACACTATTCTTGAATCTCTTCGCACAGCTGAAAATAAATATGTGAAACAGCACAACAGATTAAGTTATCCTCATCAGCAAGTAATTGGTCAGAATAATTAAATGTCAATCCAAAGGATTGCCGATAAAGAACCAGTTACACAGACCATGCTATCAGATCTAGGCCAAATTCCCATAAAACACCAATCTTTTACTCCACTTAAGAACAAAATTGACACAAATTGCTAAAGTACTTGGCATGAGTGGACTCAGCTAAAGTAAATGTTGTTAAAATGCACATTGCGTTGGAGTTAAGCTTCAATATTTATTGTTGTCACCCCTCGAAGTCAAAGACATGTTGATGGTTTTGAGTATCAAAGATTTCATTCTATCCTCTTTTAAGACAGAGATAATAATGAAAGAACTGAACGTGCTTTTGATCACAGAAGCAAAAGGTCTCTACATTTGTATTTATTTATTTATTTTTATGTCAATGTTGACAAGAGTCCTGCATCTGTATTCTGGTATCTAAACATAGATGCATCGATTTACACAAGTTTTTGGCATCAACCCTACTGAAGTCCACATAAGCTGAAGGTAAACTGGACTTCTAAAATTCTCTTTTAGATGCCTATACATGGATCTAAGGATTTTACTGTTGACACCACTTCTCTTTTTTCTTTCTATAACAGTTGATTAGAATTGAGTAGACAATAAAATGTTCCAGAAGTGTAAATATAATAATCAATTAATAAACTGGAAGAAAACGATTATTAACAAAATTATTTAATAGTAAAAAACCTAAGATTTCAATGGACAATTTTTAATGTTTTGGATGTATAAAAGATGTCAGGATGAACACTTACAGAAGATATATTTTATTGATTAAAAGAGGGACTTAAAACACCTGGAAAGGACAAATGTTCAATTTCATTTTTAATTTTTAACTTGAGATATTTTTTCAGAAAAGTAATCAGTTCAGATAATTAATACTTATTATCATTCTTGTATCCTATCTTCAGAATTTGTCAAACAGTACAGTAAAGAAAGGTCATATACTCTTTGTGTGTCTTAAAGCAAGAAACTACACAGATTTTTTTATGCAGCATTTCTATAATTCTCCAAGCAAATAAATTCAATGTTGAAAGGTAGTAATACTGTACCTTGATTTCTTCTATTTCGTCTGGCACTATCTTGTATGCAGATATAGTCCCACCCAACCTGAAATTGGGAGAAGAAAATATTCTCAAAAACAGTAACACAAAGCACAGCATGCTAATGGTGCCACAAGTCACTCCCAAACGCGGAAATCCCTCCTACCAACTAGGAGGTAGACCCCACCAAACCCCAAAACAACAGAAAAAACAAAACAATACAAAACAAACAAAGAAACAAACAAAAACTTTCCTTTCTTCTTCATGTGATTAAAATAAGCATTAGAAACAAGATGTCCTTCACTAGACCAAAAGGGAAGAATTAGATTAACCAAGCAGAATTACCATCACCAGGATGTTATTCTGTACGTTAACTGCCATCAGCCACCATATTCTACTATCTCATTTGTTTTCTAAGTTGTACAGATGAGTTTAAATATTTAAAGCCTGACAAGTTTTGTGCTCAGTGTTTCACTGAACTGCTATATTGACTTAAACGCATCCAAGACCAATTCTATATATTGACATTTCTTAATTGTACACAAATTGTATCACAAACCGCACAGACTCAATGGCTTCCATGTTTGAAGTCTCTGGAGATCATGATTGGTAATAAAAAGTGCAATGGTAGGCACTGATCTAGAAAAACAGTTTTTTCGTTCCACATTGAACTTGCTGAATAGCTACAATAAAAGGCAGTTTTTTGCCTTTTTGCCTGCGTCCTGCAAAAGGTTATAGTAAAAAATCATTCATACATTGAGGATGCATAAACAGCATGTACTATACACATAGTGGTACATCCTTGATGGCTAATATTATATTTTCCCCAGAGACATTCAAACATGGCTTATTTTATGAAGCAGCATCATTGGTAGTGACAATTCAGATCTAAAAATATAATGGCATTAATGACCTCCCTGCTGGCTCTGTACAGCAACACTAGTGCTTTCTGGGTCCTACAGAAACAGAAATCACATATGAAATTATTTATTGTAAAGCCAAGGAAAGCTATCAAATGTGTATTATCCCCGTTATGAGATGTTTCCCTTACAATTGTCAGCATTTCTACATTGATGTATTTCCTTACATTTTATCTTGAAATTATTACACATAGTGCTTACTCAACCTAAAAAGGGAAGAAAAGACTAACAGAGAAAGTACATTATGGATTTCCCCTAAGTCCTGCCAGCCAAATTTCTACAGGCAAGTCACTCCCAAAATTGAACAATTTGAAGGCTCTAGACAGAAAATAGTTTGCTTAAGAAAAGTCAGTTCTAAAGCTCACCACTGCTCTAAGTAATCCTCGCTGTGATTACCAAAGTAGAGATGGGATCCAAACACTTCTACGCTCAAACTGATCATGAATGGGACAAAGCATAGTGATGGTTCTCTCCCATGTCTTCTGCAACTTCCACAGCTGCTCATCATCAGTGCAGCGGAACATGAGAGAAAACAGAGACTTATTCTTCACCACAGCAAGTACAAATGTGAGCTTTTACTCTTCACTGCATCCTTCTTTGTTCAAATGGCACTGCCAGGGATAGCTGCAAGAAATTGGTTGTACCATCATGACAAGGGCTTCCCTCATCACACCATGACAAGGTATGGCTCTGATGTGGTGCACATTAGAGTTGCACATGACCTGTTGCGCAGGTCCTGTTGCATGAAGCCCACAGGACAATGTTTTTTCAGTTGTTTCTGATCCATTCCTGCCTGCATGCTGAAGTACCCACAAAGTAACAACTTCAACTTTGCATCCTCTAGCAGAAGGGAAGGACAGAGCCTCTGCTGCCAGAACTCCACCAGAGGGAATTCTTTATTGGCCACCCCTGGCACAAGCACTTCCTTGGAATAAGTCAGGATTTTATTTTTTTTTAATGAAAATAATAATTAATGCAGTAAACTCATCTGGCTTGCTTAAGCCATTAATTAGCATCATTTTCTGCAAATACTTCTGCAAAATTATGTGTCAAGAGTTTATGATACTCTAAAACTGCCAAGCTGCAATCCAAATTCTGGCACATTTTAAAGTAGTTGAACATTCCCAAATAGGACATTTTTCTTGATGAAACAGCTAAATGCAATATCATTGAAAATGTCAGTTATCACACTTTCATGCTTCTGAAAGTGAAAGATACATGAAAAGTTATGCTACTGTTAAATAAAGTCTCTCACCTATAGCTTCAGATCTCCACATCTATCTTAATACATTTCCAATCCTATAATGACAGCTTTAACTTGGAAATCCAGACTACATAAATAACTAATAGCAAACTTGAAACTGTAAAAGAATAATAGGCACATAAATATTCAATTCCATATATGTTTCAGAGCCAAAGCAAAGTTCTTAAATAAGTCTATCTTTTCTTCATTTCAGAACATTAGATTTCCCTTCATTTATAACTACTGGAAGAGAGATCGACTATAGCAGATTGCTCGTTAATATGATACTATAGAGGACATAATAAGGATATTTGACTTTGTCTACAAAGTTTGGTGGTGAGCTTCACACAAGTTTCAAGGCAGCACACACAGTAGGAGGATCCAATTAACACAGCCTTAACAGCTGAGTGAGCAAAAATGATTTAAGCTGCCTATTTAGCAGCCTATGAGTACTGTAACAATAACAGACAGATAAAATTTAGAACTCTGTTTTTTTTTCTGGTGTTTCTGCAAAACGTCTTGATAAATTTCACTTTCATGCACAAAATATTATACCATATAATTCACTTGTTAAAGTCAGAAGCAGTTGTGAAACATGCCGCATACTATTCACTCAAAAATCATAAATCGCAGTTTATTCCAACCTCATGGTAAATACTCTGAAAAGAAATTTGAAAGTGCTTAGTTCTGTGTTACTGTATCATTACTACAAATCTCCCACAATCAGATAAGCCCATAATGTAAGGGACTACACAATGCCAGGCTCACACATAAAAAAGATACTGAGAAAAAAAAACATTGTGATGAATGTTAAGAAAGAACAGGAAACTCTAGGCAGAAAATGAAATTATTGAAAATCAAACAGCGTACCTGACTTAAGGAAAACATTAGATTTCAAAGATTTCTCTGAATTACACTTAGGCGTCACTATCGACTGCAACCTGTCTGGAATTTTGCTTGTTATTTTGCAAATCCTCAGTTTGAACACTGACACTTGAATACTGACACTTGAAAGAATAGAGGCTCGACAGGAGGCTTCAGCTATACAATGCACCTACAGAATGAATGATACACAGCGACGCGAGGCAGAGTACCTGCCCTTGGAATTCATTTTGTCATTTTCTTGAGAGGAATCTCTCTTTGCAGATTGGTTTTGTTCACAGGCTACCAGAACATTTTATATTAACTTTTTTTGATCACGGTATTTCAAGAAGCAATTACACTGCAATCAGAGAAGCAACGGATAAGCTAGCGTGAGTACACATTAACTACCGTAGGTTTTGTACACCAGACTATAATGCAGCAAAGAACATCATAGAAGGCCAGAACTCAGTTCAACAGGGACTCGTTTTTTGTACAGATTCACTCTTCACCTTTCACACAATCTGGTTTTATTATTATGTTTTTCTCCTGTTGAACAACATAACATCCAGCATCTTGGGACACAAATGGCATTTTCTCTCAGAACAAGTACATAACCGATCGAAAGCAAAGCTAAATATACAGCCAGCTACTTCCATTAGGCTGAAAAAGTAGTCCCAAACTTCATCCAGGGAGACTTAATGCTCTAAGTCATTCTCTTCCAAACTGTAATAATCTGTCACTATAGGAAGCTACATGATTTAGTAGCGAAATTATTTGAAATACTCGTTAGTTCTAGGGTTTTTTTATGCGTATATACAACAAATAATTTCTGAAAGGTGCCACAATTTACATTCACATTTCTATGGACATCCATCTCATCAGGTCTGTATATACATAACATAGGCACTCCAATTCTCTAATTCCTCTGAAGAAGAAGGGAAAGTATTCCTACATGTACAAATTAGAACTGACACACTAAAAACGAAAGAACCACAGCTTATATTGAGTTAAACTGGTTGAAGTCTTTGAGGAGAGAATAAGAAGAGATAGGACATAAATTCCATCAAAATCATTACGAAATACGAAATCTCAAATCAATGCTGGCACAACAATTTGTGAAAGAATACAAACTTTTAGTCTTTTTTAAGGAAACTATTTTAGAAAAAAAAGTGCATCTCAGGATGACATGTAATGCATAGACTGGGTTCAAAGGAAGTTCACAAAAAGGATTTAAAAGAATGTTGAAAGAAGAGTTTCTATAGCAACCTGAGAAATCAGCAAAATACAGGAGAAATACTGAAGTGAGGTCAATACGGTTGTATTGGAACAGATGGAAGCTTTATTATTTCACAAATTAAAGCACAACATCACTGAACAGGGAAAACTTGAATTTCATCCAAGTTGAGCAAAGTTAAAAACCAGGAGGAACTGTGCTCAAATGGAAGCAAGAAACAAAGAAGCACAGCCCAGACACACTGTTAGTAAATTGAAAGATAACTCAAAAGAACAGTTTAGTAAAAAAAAAACACAACTGTTAGTAAGGATAAACTATTTGTTATTTTGATATGAAAACCTTCAATGACCTGTTTGCTGTATATTTCAACGTGCTAACTAAAACAGAAACTGAGTTTCTTGTTGTTTTAAAATACTTATTCTGGATATAAGGTTAGAATTGTCACCACGTTATTTTCCACGCAATTGCAAGTTGGACTTTGGACTGGTTTGCCCCTGTGCCCCTTTGTGTATGCATGTTGCACTACATTATCAGTGCCTAATTACAACTTGTGCTTCTGCGAGACACTTGTGAACCAATAGCGCTCATTGTTCGGCTTTTATAATGTGAATTCTGACCAAAGAGATGAACATGATCTTAATACACAGTTCCACATTCAGTGACTGCCAGAAGAAGCTGAGCCATTGACTCATCTGCTAACTTAATAACTGAGTCATACTGAATGCAATAAAGTCAAATTTCTAAAAATATCAGTGCAGCCAGCTTGGCTGCTGTCATTTGCTGAAGTTCTCCAATGCCACTTTAAT